TGTCGCTGCTTTATAAGAACAAAAAAGTCAGAATTGTGATGTAATAAGTTGCTTAAAAAAGTTACTTTTTAACAGCATGTGATTCAGCTGTTGCGGAAAACACATTAATGGCCTACAATACAGTCTGAATCAGAAGACAGCGTTATTTACAGTGTGACAACATGCCCCATATGTAACTCCATTAGAAACATTTAGTGCAGGGTTTAGCAAATGAACCATGTTGTTGTTTTAATTAATGTACTGATTTATGATTATTGTTTTTGCTTTGGTTCTATATAATTTTGTCTTGTGAGGTGTATGTTTGTGAAACTTTTGTACGGTCATCTTGGCCAGGACTCCCTGGAAGAAGAGATTTCTTGTATCTCAGTGGGACCTTCCTGGAAAAATAAAAGATAAATAAATAAATATTAGAGCTTGTTACTAATCGAGAACAAACCCGTCCTGAGAAACACTGCAGTGAACTGTGTGACAACATGCCCCGCTCTCCCGCTCTCAGCAGCACGGCATCATGGGACGAGAGACCTGAAACGGAAGTGCATTGTTATAATCTAATGACATGAGCCTTTAAATCAGCCTCGAGATGAGACGAATCAAACAAACAAATCAAGATATTCCTCAACAACTGTTTTATGTCTTTGAAGAACCACACGAGGAAGATTCCTTTCAAAAGTGTTGTTTCTAGACCTGGAAGAGACACGGAAATGAATTAAATCTTAAATATAATGACATGGGCATTTTTAAAACAAATACACATTTGATAGTCTCTAGTAAAAATGATATATTATATGGAAAAAGCCCATATAAGAATGGAAAAGTCATGGTGGCGTGAAGTGTTGACTTTAAATGATGGTTAACTAAATGCTATGTCTACAGTTTCCCATGAGCCTTCCACACAGGTTATGAATATTAATATCTCACCATCACAGAATCTGGCTCTTCAGTGTGCATCTCTCGGCTCTTTCTGGTCCAGCAGGTGGAAACATCTCTCTCCTCAATTACAAAATAAATGTAACGATTGCAAAGGTTACATCTGAGTATTTTCACATGCATACAGATTTAATTGCATTCTTTCATAAATTGCATCGACTGCTCTAAAATATGAGATGAGTTTAGAACACACGCTTATTACATAACTGATTTATGTTCTATTTGGGTTTATGTGCATGCTTTATTTTTTTGTTAGTGTTTCCAGTCATAACTACACAAAGTAAAAAACAGCATCACAGCTATTATGATTTTAAATCTGTATTTAACCTCAGAGCGATCTCATCTGGTTTTGTGGTGGCTGTGCTTTAAAATTAATTTTTTTATAATCTTAATTCAAGTGCTGAAGGATTGTGAAAGTCTGAGAGTAATCAGTGCTGAGGTTAACCTGCCTGCTTTACATGTTACAAACATTCTTTAGAATCGTATAAAAGTATCAAATGTAATCAGCTACTTTAAGTAATTGTTACTTGTTGCATTTTAAATAACTTGTGAGTCTGTAACCTGTTACATTTCCAAAGCAACGTTCCACAAACACACACTCCACTTTATATTATAACCGTGCTTCATCACATCACTACTAGTGATGGTTAACCTCTACTAACGAGAGCTGTCCGCTTTCATCATTTATTCTCTCAGCTCTAACTCAAACTCATCTGTGATTTAATACAGACGCGTGCAGATGACTTCATGTTTTTTAATCAGTACATAAATACATTTTCCATCATATACTGTGTGACATCTTTAAAATCATCTTAGAAAATATCAAAAATATGCTTCTTGTATTTGAAGGCTTTCTTTACAAAAACACAGAAGGTCCTTTACAAACTTCTGATTCTCTGGCAGCGTTGGACTGAATGTGTCTTTCGCGGTGGATTGCTAGTCGTTTTTGGTTTCTTTTCTTTAAAGGGTGATGTGATCAACTGCTCTGGCTCCGCTGTGAAGAACACCTCTTTCTGTCAGGAACGGCGAGGCGAGGCGAGCGTGATGAGATGAAGGTGAGCTGCAGGGAACAGAGAAAGCATCAGCAGGAGAGCAGAAGAAGAAGATGTGAATGAGCCGCTGCTGTGTAGGAGACTTCATTTCTGTCCTCCTACTGATCTGCAGATGAGCATCTCTGAAAACACACGCCAAATGTTTATGTTTACAGACGCTGACGTCTTTCCTGAAACCTGACCGTAAGAGCATCACGTCTGTCCTCTTCATAATGATTCAAATCATTCTCTTGCTTAGTGTTAGTGTCTTGTGTTCTAGTATAAATATCTAAACATTCTTGAATCAAGATGCATTTACTGTACGAGTGAAATGATTTAAGATATTACGTCTTGATTTCTAAACAAATAATCAAAATTGTGTTAGTTTTTGCTTAAAACAAGCAGAAATATCTGCCAATGCGGTAAGAAAATTAATCTTAATTCAACGGCTAAACAAGATTATTTTTCTTGCACCATTAGCAGATATTTTACTTGTTTTAAGCAAAAACTAACACATTTTTATTTTTTTTACAGAAAACAAGACATAATATCTTAAATAATTTCACTCGTACAGTAAATGCATCTTGATTCAAGAATGTTCACCGGATGCTGTGCGCGCGCTCAAAGCAGCTGGACATAGCGGTGTATTAGAGGTAAAATATTATATAAATACTGTTGGGTTTCTGGCACAAACTGATCGTTTCGTGTGTTGGGACATCAGTGTGTCGTCACGAGCCGCAGGGTTTAATCTGGATTTGTCTGCGCATGTTTTTTTTACTCTCATAGATTTTGTTACCATTGCCATGCATTATACGACTGATAGACTGCAACGGCTGGAGTTAAAAATCATCAAATGTGTTCTACTGAAGAAACAAAGTCACCTACATCTCAGATGCCCCGGGGGTAAACAGATAAACATCACATTTTCATTTTTGGGTGAACTATCCCTTTAAGAGTGTTCTGATGATTGCTGTGACTCCAGTTGTCTGGTGGTCTTTGTTGTAATAAAATCCCCCTTGTGTAGAGTTAGCCCTGGCCTCGGTCCTTTTCATCTGCAACACCACAAAGATTTAAAGAGACAGCAGCAAAAAATGTCCTGTCTAGTGGAGTTCAAATCAGTGTTTCTCAAGCAGATCTTCAAGATTACTTTAATAATAAAAAAAAAAAAAGTAAAACAGGGCAAATCAAACCAAACTTAAATAAAAAATAAAAAAAATCAAGATATTTCTTATTTTAATTACAAAACCCAATTTTTTCTTATTCTATTCCAAAAACAGACAGAGCTGCGAGATGTAAACTCAGAGAAAAACAGATTTGCAAAATAAAAACTCAAAATTGCAAGAAAAATCTCAAAATTACTACTTATTGTCGCTGCTTTATAAGAACAAAAAAGTCAGAATTGTGATGTAATAAGTTGCTTAAAAAAGTTACTTTTTAACAGCATGTGATTCAGCTGTTGCGGAAAACACATTAATGGCCTACAATACAGTCTGAATCAGAAGACAGCGTTATTTACAGTGTGACAACATGCCCCATATGTAACTCCATTAGAAACATTTAGTGCAGGGTTTAGCAAATGAACCATGTTGTTGTTTTAATTAATGTACTGATTTATGATTATTGTTTTTGCTTTGGTTCTATATAATTTTGTCTTGTGAGGTGTATGTTTGTGAAACTTTTGTACGGTCATCTTGGCCAGGACTCCCTGGAAGAAGAGATTTCTTGTATCTCAGTGGGACCTTCCTGGAAAAATAAAAGATAAATAAATAAATATTAGAGCTTGTTACTAATCGAGAACAAACCCGTCCTGAGAAACACTGCAGTGAACTGTGTGACAACATGCCCCGCTCTCCCGCTCTCAGCAGCACGGCATCATGGGACGAGAGACCTGAAACGGAAGTGCATTGTTATAATCTAATGACATGAGCCTTTAAATCAGCCTCGAGATGAGACGAATCAAACAAACAAATCAAGATATTCCTCAACAACTGTTTTATGTCTTTGAAGAACCACACGAGGAAGATTCCTTTCAAAAGTGTTGTTTCTAGACCTGGAAGAGACACGGAAATGAATTAAATCTTAAATATAATGACATGGGCATTTTTAAAACAAATACACATTTGATAGTCTCTAGTAAAAATGATATATTATATGGAAAAAGCCCATATAAGAATGGAAAAGTCATGGTGGCGTGAAGTGTTGACTTTAAATGATGGTTAACTAAATGCTATGTCTACAGTTTCCCATGAGCCTTCCACACAGGTTATGAATATTAATATCTCACCATCACAGAATCTGGCTCTTCAGTGTGCATCTCTCGGCTCTTTCTGGTCCAGCAGGTGGAAACATCTCTCTCCTCAATTACAAAATAAATGTAACGATTGCAAAGGTTACATCTGAGTATTTTCACATGCATACAGATTTAATTGCATTCTTTCATAAATTGCATCGACTGCTCTAAAATATGAGATGAGTTTAGAACACACGCTTATTACATAACTGATTTATGTTCTATTTGGGTTTATGTGCATGCTTTATTTTTTTGTTAGTGTTTCCAGTCATAACTACACAAAGTAAAAAACAGCATCACAGCTATTATGATTTTAAATCTGTATTTAACCTCAGAGCGATCTCATCTGGTTTTGTGGTGGCTGTGCTTTAAAATTAATTTTTTTATAATCTTAATTCAAGTGCTGAAGGATTGTGAAAGTCTGAGAGTAATCAGTGCTGAGGTTAACCTGCCTGCTTTACATGTTACAAACATTCTTTAGAATCGTATAAAAGTATCAAATGTAATCAGCTACTTTAAGTAATTGTTACTTGTTGCATTTTAAATAACTTGTGAGTCTGTAACCTGTTACATTTCCAAAGCAACGTTCCACAAACACACACTCCACTTTATATTATAACCGTGCTTCATCACATCACTACTAGTGATGGTTAACCTCTACTAACGAGAGCTGTCCGCTTTCATCATTTATTCTCTCAGCTCTAACTCAAACTCATCTGTGATTTAATACAGACGCGTGCAGATGACTTCATGTTTTTTAATCAGTACATAAATACATTTTCCATCATATACTGTGTGACATCTTTAAAATCATCTTAGAAAATATCAAAAATATGCTTCTTGTATTTGAAGGCTTTCTTTACAAAAACACAGAAGGTCCTTTACAAACTTCTGATTCTCTGGCAGCGTTGGACTGAATGTGTCTTTCGCGGTGGATTGTTAGTCGTTTTTGGTTTCTTTTCTTTAAAGGGTGATGTGATCAACTGCTCTGGCTCCGCTGTGAAGAACACCTCTTTCTGTCAGGAACGGCGAGGCGAGGCGAGGCGAGCGTGATGAGATGAAGGTGAGCTGCAGGGAACAGAGAAAGCATCAGCAGGAGAGCAGAAGAAGAAGATGTGAATGAGCCGCTGCTGTGTAGGAGACTTCATTTCTGTCCTCCTACTGATCTGCAGATGAGCATCTCTGAAAACACACGCCAAATGTTTATGTTTACAGACGCTGACGTCTTTCCTGAAACCTGACCGTAAGAGCATCACGTCTGTCCTCTTCATAATGATTCAAATGATTCTCTTGCTCAGTGTTAGTGTCTTGTGTTCTAGTATAAATATCTAAACATTCTTGAATCAAGATGCATTTACTGTACGAGTGAAATGATTTAAGATATTACGTCTTGATTTCTAAACAAATAATCAAAATTGTGTTAGTTTTTGCTTAAAACAAGCAGAAATATCTGCCAATGCGGTAAGAAAATTAATCTTAATTCAACGGCTAAACAAGATTATTTTTCTTGCACCATTAGCAGATATTTTACTTGTTTTAAGCAAAAACTAACACATTTTTATTTTTTTTACAGAAAACAAGACATAATATCTTAAATCATTTCACTCGTACAGTAAATGCATCTTGATTCAAGAATGTTTAGATATTTATACTAGAACACAAGACACAAACAAGCAAGAGAATCTTTTTTGCCGTGTGCTATCATAGCTTTTGAATTAGAATTTTTCACATTTTGTTCATTTTAATTTTACTTAACATTTTAGTAATTTTGTTGTTTTTTTATTTTGTATTCTTTTATTATTTGCATATATAGTTTTAGTTATTTTAGTATTTTAACTGAAACTAAAATAAAAATGAGGTATAGCGCCTTTGAAACTAGCTGAAATAAAAAGTATATTATTTTAAGTAATTAATTGTTTTAACTTTTTTTATTTTGTTGCCTGGAAAAACTAGCGGAAATAATTATTTATATTTTTTCACGTCGAGTAATTATTATTATTTTTTAATTGTGTTGCCTTGGAAACTAGCTGAAATATAATGTATATTATTTTAAATATTTTTATTTTACATATAGTAATGCATTTTTAATTGTTTTTTAACTGTTTTCTTATTGTATTGTCTGTGAAACTGGCTGAAATAAAACTTATAATTTATTTCAGTAAATGTTTTTATTTCAAGTAATTTCTTTTGTTTTTTTTGTAACAGTTTTAGTTGACGATAATGTTCAACCTGCCGTTGTGAAACACTGATCAATGCTGGATTCATTTAATTAATTGCATATAACAGATGCAATTAATTATCCGTCACTCCTGTACTCACACAGCAGTGTTAACTAGTTTACTCTAATTCTATTGAAGTGTCAGAAAAACTAAGTATAGTGTTAGAAACCCATAATCTTTAAAAAAAAAAAAAAAGACTAAATAAAAACTTAGATTTATGATGTTAATAACTGTGGATAAGCGTCACAGTCTGTGAAAAGTGTCCACTGAGAATAAGATGTGAAATGCGTGTAATATTGAGAGGATTGAGCCAACAACAGCCGGATTTTTATGATGCTTTTAACAACCTGATGGCCATAATAACTCTTCCTCCAGTGAGTCAGTGTTCTGGTGTGAATCAGGAGAGAAATCTGCACAGATCAAGCAGCGTTTAAACAGATCTAAACACATATGTGGCTGGATTTTGATGCGAGAGACAACAGCAGATGCACTTTTTCACTGGAGGAAGAGTTATTATGGATTATGGACTCTATGGTATTTGAGTTAAAAGCGTCTTAATGCTGGATGTGTTTCAGCTTTTGTCTTCTCCAGATGTTCACTGAGTGCTGTGGATTATTGTGATGTTTTTATCAGCTGTTTGGACTCTCATTCTGACGGCACCCATTCACTTGCAGCGAGACACTGATGCAGTGATACATTTCTACAAACCTGATGAAGAAACAAATTCATCCTGATCTCGGAAGATCCTGAGGGTGAACACATTTCTGGCTGAACTATTCCTTTAATGATGAAGGAAGCACCCTGGAGCACAAAAGCAGTGTTAAGTCGCTGGGGGATACAGTGGGTACGGAAAGTATTCAGACCCCCTTAAATTTTTCACTCTTTGTTATATTGCAGCCATTTGCTAAAATCATTTAAGTTCATTTTTTTTTGTCAATATGGGGTGCTGTGTGTACATTAATGAGGAAAAAAAATTAAATGATTTTAGCAAATGGCTGCAATATAACAAAGAGTGAAAAATTTAAGGGTGTCTGAATACTTTCCGTACCCACTGTATTTGTAGTAATAACCTAACCCTAACCCTAACCCTACATTGTATGGGTCGAAATTATAGATTTTTCCTTTATCTGTGTTTTTCTGTCAATATGGGGTGCTGTGTGTACATTAATGAGGAAAAAAACTTAAATGATTTTAGCAAATGGCTGCAATATAACAAAGAGTGAAAAATTTAAGGGTGTCTGAATACTTTCCGTACCCACTGTATTTGTAGCAATAACCAACAATACATTGTATGGGTCGAAATTATAGATTTTTCCTTTATGTCAATAATCATTAGGATGTTAAGTAAAGATCATGTTCCATGAAGATATTTTGTAAATCTCCTACCGTAAATATATCAAAACTTAATGTTTGATTAGTAATATGCATTGCTAAGAACATCATTTGAACAACTTTAAAGATGATTTTCTCAATATTTAGATTTTTTTGCACCCTCAGATTCCAGATTTTCAAATAGATGATGCATAAACCTCAATTTTAAAAAACTGACCCTCATGACTGGTTTTGTGGTCACAAATGGCTGTCGCCTCCTGATTCTGAAAGCTCTTACCGTTCAACACTCTCCTTCTGTCTCCTCTCCAAACAAAAGGAAACTATAAAGAGAAGTTCGTTCAGCCTCGGTCTGCGTCAAACGGTGGTGCTGGTGGACTTGCGTAAAATGGTCTTGTGTGGTTTCTGCGAGGGGAAAGCGAGGACGCCGTTCTCGGAGCACTGATGGACGGGGCTGGGTTTGGTGTCGATCAGCTCGGTGTGTAAGTGCAGCTCTGTGCTGTTCGTGTCACAGTCTGGGCAGTAGCCGTGATACTGCACCTTCTCGCTGAAGCGCACTCGCTCTCTCGTGGTCTGAGGACAGCGGCTCTCGCCGAGGCTCTTCGCAGAGTCTCTGCTGGGCGCTCCGTTCTGCATCAGCGGGATCTCCTCGGCTCTGGACGGAGTGCTCCGGAGCGGAGGAACTGGCGGCGTGGGTCTCTTCAGGACGGTGAGGACGGCTGGCGGTCTGAAGAGCGTCTCCTCGGGGTAGATCTTGACGCTGGAGGCCGTGGTGGTGCTGCTGGAGCTGCTGTTGAGCGTGTCCGTCTTGGAGCTGTCCGTCAGATCCTCCTCCAGACGGAGATCAGACGTCAGGCAGTCGATCTCCTCAACCACCTGAGAAGAGTCCGATGTGAGACGAGATGAACGTGCACAAGAAACCAGGTGCTCTAGAGACACCATCCGTTATACAGTCCTGGCCAAAATCAGAGCACTCGTATTTCCAGCAGCTAAAAATGAGTTTAAGTCAGTTATTTCTATCGTTTGCTGTAGTGTGTCAGCAGGAAATATCTGTTTACATTTCCAAACATTCATTTGGCCATTAATTGTAATAGTGCAGTGAGATTTGAGCTCTGATCATCATCAGTCTGTCTGGAGTCACATGAAGTAACAGAACAAACTGAGACAGACTCAATCCAGAAGAACTGATGCTTCAAGAAACCTCCTGCGAAGCTACAGTACTGTGAAAAGTTTGATGCTAGCAACATGCTAATCATGTTAACAACATGCTAGTAACACCCTAGCAACCGCCATGGGTACCCTAGCAATGGCATAGCAACACCTTAGCAACCACCCTGGGTAGCCTAGCAACCACATAGCAGCACCCTGGCAACTGCCCCAGGTACCCTAGCAACCGCATAGGAACACCTTAGCAACCACCCTGGGCAGCCTAGCAAATGCATAGCAGCACCCTAGCAACCGCCCCGGGCACCCTAGCAACCACATTGCAACACCCTAGCAACCACCCTGCGTACCCTAACAACCTCATAGCAACACCTTAGCAACCACCCCAGGTACCCTAGCAACCGCACAGCAACACCCTAGCAGCCGCCTAGAATCTATCTATCTATCACTTGTGTAAAAATTACGTAAAATGAGGATGCTGTCAATAATAATGTCATAAATAGATTTTTTTTATCAATTAGCTTCTATGAACTAAATGAAATCAACATTTGGTGTGAGCATCTTTGTGTTTAAAGCAGCGTTTGCCCTCGGTGCACTTGAGCAGAGTTTCTCAGGAGCTTCGCAGGAGGTTTCTTGAAGCATCAGTTCTTCAGGATTGAGTCTGTCTCAGTTTGTTCTGTTTCTTCATGTGACTCCAGACAGACTGATGATGATCAGATCAGAGCTCACTGCATTATTACAATTAATGGCCAAATGAATGTTTGGAAATGTAAACCGATATTTCCTGCTGACACACTACAGCAAACGATAGAAATAACTGACTTCAACACATTTATAGCTGCTGGAAATACTAGTGTTGTGATGATTTTGGCCAGCACTGTATAACTGTGATATAACTGGATGTGTTTTATGTAGTGGTCGACCTATATATTGCCAAGGTCGATATATCGGCCGATATTTGGCATTTTTCAAATATCGGTATCGGACGATAATTTTTTCTGTTTGGCCGATGTGTTCAAGGTGGAACGTTTATTTTGACTGCGCTGAGAACATTCTCCCTCTTCATTGTTTGCTGTCACAGTTTAACAGTTCTGTCTAATAATCAGATAGCATGTTAAACAAAGGAATTAAACGGTATACAAAAAGTATTACATCGATTGCTTTTATATTATTAGTAATAGAACGGCAAACATAATACTTTCTCATTTACTGCACCATCAGCATTCAGCAAATACGCATTTATATCATTTAAACAGATCGTTGAATGTCTAATAAACATTTAATTTCACAAACCTTGCAGACTTAGTTGGATCCAGCTGTGAGATCTTATAAAGTGTGCGTTTGTATATTGCATGATCGCGTGTTCTCTGCGTGACGTGCGAACAGAAGACGCGATCGACAAACTTTAAACTCGTGGTTTCAAACTATGCTGCGCTTTACGTGTGCTGTACGTAAAATGAGTGTTACCTTGACATTATTTGAAAAAAATTTAAATATTCCCAATGCACACAAAAATTTCCCAGCCCTGTTGGTTACAGTGTTTACTTCCTTTATATATTTTGTATATTGCATGATCGCGTGTTCTCTGCGTGACGTGCGAACAGAAGACGCGATCGACAAACTTTAAACTCGTGGTTTCAAACTATGCTGCGCTTTACGTGTGCTGTACGTAAAATGAGTGTTACCTTGACATTATTTGAAAAAAATTGAAATATTCCCAATGCACACAAAAATTTCCCAGCCCTGTTGGTTACAGTGTTTACTTCCTTTATATTTTTTTTAAATATTTCTTTATTTGTGAAAAATACTGTAATAGGATTACAGAATCAAGTAGTTGTCATCTAAAGTATAAGTATGCTTATTTTACACATTTATCATTTTACATTTATTTCTTAAATATTAATTCGAATAAGTTAAAATGATATCGGCCACCATGCTCTAAGATATCGGTTGTCATAAAACCGATATCGGTCGACCACTAGTTTTATGATCTCGTGTTCTGATGTTCATACCATTGTTTCAAAGCAGCTTTACAGAAAACCATGAAGCTAATGTTTATAATATCTTCATGCCTTAGAGTCGCATTTATCAGATTAGAGCTGTGCAATAATATAGTTACATTTCGCGGTGATATAAACAATAACGCAGATGAGATTTGCGATATATCACTTTACGAGAGTGTGCTGTATGTTACAAACTAACAAAATGTTCTAAGAACGTTTTTATAACATTCCCATTAAGTTATTTCTGAACGTTCAAACTTGCATTTTTTAAAATTGTTTTTATAAACGTTTTTTTTCTTGGTTATATGAACGTTAAGGGAACATTCCGGTTTATCGTTTCGCAATCATTATGGGAACGTTACTGTTTAATGTTCTTTGAAGGTTCTGAAACAAGTAGCAACATTTAAAAAACGTCCAACTAAAACGTTTCAGTTTTAGAACTGTGTACAAGTAACGTTTTTGTGGTAACATTTTGAGAACATTATTAAAGACCAGATAACATTGAACAAACGTTCTGTAAACGTTGCTGGTTCATAACTTGTGTTTCCATAAATACTGTAGCATCATCATGAACAGATACTGTACGTGATGAAGAGCTGCAAACATTTCAGACTCGATCATAATCCTGAACAAACAATACAAATCCATAACTCCAATCTACAGCTACGATAAGTATACGCAGTTTCCCAGCTAACAATATGATCTGCTAATGTTCTCGTTAAACATCATTTCTGAACGTTCAAAACATCCAGTTTTATAAATGTTTTAAAACGTTTTTTTCCCCCTTGGTTATGCAAACATTAAGGGAACATTTCAGTTTATCATTTTGCAATCGTTATGGGAACGTTACTTTTGAATGTTCTCTGAAACAAGAGCAACATTTAAAAAAATGTTAGAACGATGTGTAACATTTCTGTGCGATGCATTTTGAGAACATGCACCTTTGAACAAATGTTCTATTAATGTAACTGGGAGAACAATTGTTCATAACTTTAAGAGAACCTTGCCAGAACATTCGGAGAACGTTTTACCCACACACCCAGCTAACAGCGAATGTTCTTCTGAGTTATGAACTAGTAATGTTCGTTCAAAGTAACTTTAATAATGTTCACAGAAATGTTATTTATACATTGTTCGCGGAACGTTTATTTTCCTTAAACGGTTCAGGTTGGATGTTTGCATAATGTTTTATTTTTTTAAATGTTACTTGTTTCAGAACGTTCCGAGAACATTCAAAAGTAACATTCCCATAATGTTTGGAAATGATCAAATGTAAGAAAGCACACGTACGTCTTCAAGAGGTCTGTTAAAGATCGCTTCATCTGGAAAGCATCTGCTGTGTACAAACATCTGACACACGTCTGTAAGACGTCAGTTTTAAATCATCTTAAAGACTTCTTAAAAAAACATCTTTTTGTTAGTTTGGTTCATTCAGAACACTTTTGTAAAGAATCTCATCGGTGCAAAATGTAACTATATTAACGCACAGCTCTAATCTGATAAATGCGACTATAAAGATATTACAAACATTAACATGGTTTTCTGTAAAGCTGCTTTGAAACTATTTTGTGAACAGCAAAACACGAGATCATAAAACGCATCCTGACTCATGTAATGTAGAAATGACTTGTTTCAGGGCGTAAATGTTTAAAGGGGTCATATGATGCGATTTCCTTTCTCTTTGGAGTGTTACAAGCTCTTGGTGCATAAAGAAGATCTGTAAAGTTGCAAAGACTAAAGTCTCAAATCCAAAGAGATATTCTTTATAAAAGTTAAGAGTTAACCACGCCCCCCTAAAACGGCTCGTTCTAACACGCCCCCACATGTCTACATCACTATGTGGGAAGATTTGCATAACGCCGCCCAAATGTGCACGCAAAGAAAGAAGGCGTAACTTTTATTCTCACGTAACATTTCCGTCACACGCTTGAGGTACTCGGCCAATCACAACGCACTGGATAGCTGACCAATCACAGCACACCTCGCTTTTCAGACCGATGAGCTTTGTAACGTTTCAGAAAGGCGGGGCATAGAGGAGAAACAATAATGTACAGCATGTGGAAAATAATGTGTTTTTTTACCCTTAAACCGCATAAACACATTGCATTACACCAAATACACAGCATACTGTTCTTTTTAGCAACATCACATGACTCCTTTAATATGAGACATAAGAGCAGACTGAGAAGTTAACATCTAAACACTGAATGAATGAATGAGTGACAGCTGTCAATCACATGAGCGTCAGGAAAGAGTCGAATCTTTGAATCTGACTCACACGAATGAAGCCCAGAGGTCTGATGATGATGATGATGATGATGATGATGTCGAGCATCAGAGTAAATGTCATGTTTACAGGTTTACACGAGGCCTCGATGGACATGAGCTCATCTTCATCTTCATCATCATCATCATCCTCAGCGCTTATAACGCTCGGCACGCACCTCTTTGAGTTCCTTCGCCACATCCTTCAGGTCTCCCAAGATGTTCTCGAGATCCTCCACGATGCACCTGATCCGTCGCTTGACCTGGACTTTAAATTCCATTCAACTTCGAAACATTCATTCACGGATTTGCGCTACGGTCTTCACACACAGACGGAACTTACTAGAGAAGTGTGACATAATATACCTCTGTAAATAAATATAAATTCACGTCTCGCGCACTTTAATGCGCTTTGAATGTAACGTGTACGTTCCCTTGGACTTTAACCACCCGTAACTCCAGAACCCCGGGGGCTATCAACGCAGCGCAAAGCGGGCCTCTAAACGTACACTCGATTCGCGTTCGAGAGGGTTCCTCGTGCTGAAGGGATCCCCCGAATCCCCGAAAACGGAGATATGGCCGTTCAAAGTTTCAATGGTTTTCCATAGACTTAAGCTTTAGAGAAGTGTGAAATAATATACCTCTGTGAATAAATACAATATAAATTCACGTCTCGCACACTTTAATGCCCTTTGAATGTAACGTGTACTTTCCCTTGGAACTGGAATCATGGCATAATTTCATGTGAAATGCGTTATGTTCTGTAAAAGTAAATGTTCATATATGTGGCATATTCGCCGATACCTATATATCGGCGACAGGCTCATATCGGCCGATAATATCGGCAAAACGATATATCGGGCGGGCTCTAATATATATATATATATATATATATATATATATACATACACAAGTATTGAAGTATTTTGACTTGCTTGACGTGACTCTCTGATTGGTGGAATTTTCTGTGCAGCATCATGGGTAATTTATTTTCAATATGATTATTTTAAAAATACATTTAATAATGAGAACAGATTTCACTGTGGAGAAAATGAATGTTTTTCCAGAAGTTTTTGCTTCCGGATCGACTGTTGTGCTCTACACTTTTACATTTTAGCGCAAATCAAATACTAGACGTGCAGAAGGAATTTCAGAGTAAATGATACTTTAAATAAATGCATTGATGTCTGACAGTGATTCATTCTGCTGCTGTTGTTTCTGAGTGCTCATGAGCAGTTTGTGTTGTTTTCAGATATCGTGGTGAATAACGCTGGGTAAGTGGATGCTTGTGAGCAGTGTTGGGGAAAGTTACTTTTAAAAGTAATGCATTACAATGTTGCGTTACTCCATAAAAAAGTAACTGATTACATTACCTAGTTACTTTTTATGGAAAGTAATGCGTTACGTTACTTTTGCGTTACTTTTTAAATCTGGACAGGGCTTGCTTGTTTGTTTTTAAAATAAAAAAAGTTATATTTCTGGCAAATATAAAAGCCTTTTCAGACCAGAAGTGAAATGAATGCGCCTCAGGCTGAAGGGGAAGTACAGTAGAACGCAGAAGAAGACATTTCAACACACTTCAGCAATGAACAAACACACACAGATGTGTGATTGTGATCAAGTTACGTAACCAGATTACTGACTAGTAAAGTAACGCATTACTTTTTAGTTTAGAGAGAAAAATCTGAGTTACTTTGTTTCCATGTATTGACTGACGCTCGTGTTGCCATGGTGACAGAAATCAGGAGTAGGGTTGCAAAAAGGTGGAAAATTTCCAGTAAATTTCAGAAACATTCCAGGATTTTTGGAATCTTCTGGGAATTTTGTGTGAACATGATCTTACTGTAGTTCTAGAATAAATATGAACATGTGTTTACTCATCTCACTGCACACAAACACATTCAGTGCTCCTCACAATCAATACAAACAATCAAATGCGAACTCAGAATATTATACAAACCTGCAATAAGACAAATATAATTAATGCATTTAATCCCATTTTATTAACTAAAATCTTCTCTACTGACCTTCGATGATCCGCTTCAACCATACTAAGCAAAAATGAAACACAGATTGCTGAATAGTGTTGAATTTTCTTCTCCTGCGTCATATTCTTCATATGATTAGTTTGAGCTGCGCTCTCTACTGTACAGACGTGCATTTACATTTCAGCCTGAGGCGCATTCATTTCACTTTTGGTGTGAAAAGGGCTTTTACATTTGTAAAAGAGGAACTTTTTATATTTAAAATCAAACAAGCAAGCCCTGCCCAGCTTTAAAAAGTAACTCAAAAGTAACGTAACGCATTACTTTCCATAAAAAGTAACTAAGTAACATAATTGGTTACTTTTTTAAATGGAGTAACGCAACATTGTAATGCATTACTTTTAAAAGTAGACTGGTTGTGTTGGGTGACTGTGTAATTCTCCTCTGCTGTTTTCTGAAGGATTCTGCGGGACCGATCGTTCGCTAGGACCAGCGATGCAGACTGGGGTACGTATCCACATAATCAACTGATGGCAAAGAAGATCAGGGCTCGTATTCACAAAACATTGTATCTTACCACTAAGAGTTCTCGTAAAAAATTGTTTTCTCTTTAAACCTATTCACAAAGCTGCAAACTTGTACTAAGCAATAGAGAGAAGTCTTAAGCTGAGAGTAAGGGGGCGGGGCTGAGCTCGTTGCTATGCATGATGTCATCAAGCTTATTAACTATGCACACAGTGATTGGCTGATAGTCTCTGTCAGAGATTCATTCATAGAAATATTGTACAGCACTATGTTGCCATATATAAAGGTAAAAAAAAAAAAGTGAATTGCCACATTCACATAAAGGTTTTAAAATGCAGCCTAAGTGTCACTAATTAAACAAGTATATGTTCAGCCTGTGTGCTTCTCATAATTAGTGGATATGCATCTAAACAGCCTTTTAATTAACAGAGCAGAATAATCATGGCTGATAGGAAGACGTGCAAACGTAAAAGAAAAGCAAGCAGCTGTTACTTCTTGCCCAGCTGGTTAATGAAAACAAGGATATCATTTAGAGTCGGGATAACCTCCAAAACCAAAGGCGATACCTTTATTAAAGCTCGTTATCAAATGTTTCTAAAATGTTAGATTGCCGGAAACAGCTATTTTAGGAGAGCTTGTGGTTTAGGACTCTCTTCACTGCTCCTAACCTTTCACAGATTTAGGAGCTAGTTTTAGAGCTAAAACACTTTGTGAAACACTCTTAGAGCGAACATTTAGGACTGACACGCACATTATTTTTAAGATTTTCTCCTAAATCGGCGAGTTTTGAGCTACTTGAGGATGTTTTGTGAATGCGGGCCCTGATCTCACGGCGCTGTGTTTCAGACCTGATTCAGCGCGTGCACCTGAGGGGCTCCTTCCTCGTCACGAGGGCCGCCTGGAACCACATGAAGACCCAGAAGTTTGGGAGGTTAGTGCAGGTCTGTAAAAGCCATCTGTGGTGTTCTCCAGCCGAGCGTCACGGCTCTCGACTCTGTTCTCAGGATCATCATGACGTCGTCCGCGGCGGGAATCTACGGGAACTTCGGCCAGGCCAACTACAGCGCGGCCAAGCTGGGTCTGCTGGGTCTCTCCAACACGCTGGCCATCGAAGGCCAGAAGTACAGCATCCACTGCAACACCATCGCTCCGACCGCAGGATCCCGCCTCACCGAGACCGTCATGCCTCCAGGTCAGAGAGCTTACACCTCCACCTTTCTGAGAGTCAGATACTACAAGACAAATATCCTTCCCACAATCTGAAGCATTGAATTGTTCATATTTGTCTCTCGGAGAGGATGAGACGGCAGTCAAACCAGCTGCAAAACACATACACACCATACGACATGGTTAATTCATTTGTGACCCTGGAGTCTGAAGTCGCTGGGGGATATTTGTAGCAATAGCCAACAATACATTGTATGGGTCACAATTATACATTTCTCTTTTATGCCAAAAATCATTAGGATATTAAGTAAAGATCATGTTCCATGAAGATATTTTGTAAAGCCCCTACCGTAAATATATCAAAACTTAATGTTTGATTAGTAATATGCATTGCTAAGAACTTCATTTGAACAACTTTAAAGATGATTTTCTCAATATTTAGATTTTTTTGCACCCTCAGATTCCAGATTTTCAAATATTGTGCTATCCTAACAAACCATACATCAATGGAAAGATTATTTATTCAGCTTTCAGATGATGTATACATCTCAATTTCGAAAAATGGACCCTTATGACTGGTTTTGTGCTCCAGGGTCGCATTTGCTTTATTTGACATTCTTCATTGTATATAATTGTAATTATTATAATTAATATTAGAAATACTGTCTGCTGTTGTTATTTTATTGTATTTATTTTCTCTCATTTATAGTCTCCTTTATTATTTTGTGGTGTAATTATATTCTGTATTTTTACACATCTAAAATGCTTTGGCAACACTGTAACACAAACGTTACCCTGGAGCACAAAACCAGTCATAAGTGCCAATTTTTCAATCTCAGGCTGAGATACAACTATTTGAAAATCTGGAATCTGAGGGTGCAGAAAAATCTAAATATTGAGAAAATCATCTTTAAAGTTGTTCAAATGAAGTTCTTAGCAATGCATATTACTAATCAAACATTAAGTTTTGATATATTTACGGTAGGACATTTACTAAATATCTTCATGGAACATGATCTTTACTTAATATCCTAATGATTTTTGGCATAAAAGAGAAATGTATAATTGTGACCCATACAATGTATTGTTGGCTATTGCTACAAATATCCCCCAGCGACTTAACACTGCTTCTGTGCTGCAGGGACACATATATGTTACAGTGTTGCCAAAGCATGTATATAGCGTATTTCAATGCTTCAAACTGTGGGAAGAATATTTGTCTTGTAGTGGTGTATTTGGGGCAGACAAGAAGAAAGTGTTTTTTTATCCTCTGTTTGATTTACGTCACAGTGTTTGCATAGTTGCTGTTCTCTCGGCATCCGGGAGTCGTAGTCGCCGAGTCGATATTTGGGAAGGATTTGTCTTTCTTTTAATGATTTGATTGATAAGTAATTTGCCAATTTGGTGGTTGTGTTTAGGGCCGAATAACACTGGAGTTTGGTTTGGAGGTCAAATTCGTTTTTTTGTTATTTTTGTCAATTTCTTGATTATGATTGAGTTTCTCTGTCTCAGATCTGGTGCAGTCGCTGAGGGCCGAGTACGTGGCTCCGCTGGTGCTGTGGCTGTGTCATGAAGCGTGTCAGGAGAACGGAGGGCTGTTCGAGGTGGGCAGAGGCGCGCTCCTGTCGCTCAAACACTAGAGAAATGCAAGGCTCATGGGTTTGATTTCAAGGGAATGCATGGACTGAATGAACGCGTACTGTACCTTGAGTGCATTAACTGCAGTTTAGATAAAAGCATCTGATCAGTGCATGCATGTAAACGTGTTTATTCTGAAACTCATCAGCTGCTGTTTGTGTTTTAGGTCGGCGCCGGATGGATCGGCAAATGTAAGTTCTGCTGAACCTGATGATCTCTGTGGGAGAAGATCTGCATCAGCAATAGAAATAGATGCATGACTCACCCTTATGCACACATTTATATACATATACACACACACACACACATATATATATATACACATACAAACACAAGTTTATTCAGTGGTGCTTAAGCCTCAGCATTACTAGTCCTTATATGGATTTAAACCCATTTACACCGCATGTTAACATCTGGATTAGAGGTCAAAGGTTACATTAACAACATTTTCGGTCATCTACCATTTTTAAAAAACACAGAAATCCTTGAAATGTCACATCCACAGCAGCTTTAGGGAAACTCATGATGCTTACAGTGTTTATAATACTTAAATGCTTATTTCTCCACATTTGGCAATTAAGAGCTGGATGATGACAATATGAAGAAAATCAGGTGACCAGATCACATGACCACTGTGGGTTTCACAGCACATGTTGAAATGAACCAGAAAGCCTGATGAGACTCCTACAGCGCTTTATACAGGACAGCTTCACAGTAATAAACACTGTTGCTAACCTCATCAGTTATCAAATGACTTGTCAAGCAGAAATGTCACGAGATAATAGTGTCATTGTTCAGCAACAGTGTTAATGTTGTAACAGTCATCAAATATGAAAATTTAGCTTCTGCTGTAAAGCAGCTCTACAGAAAACAATAGAGTCATTATTCAGATCAAATCAGTTCAGTGTGTTCACCAGTTATTACTGTAACTCTTTGTAGCGAGTATACTGTGATTTTCCCCTCTCAGCCTCGTAGCAGCACCACCACACTCACTAAACAGGGCTCTACGCGTACTTTTATGTTTAGGAGCACTTGTGCTGCTAATTAAAAAAAAATAATAATAATTAGGAGCACAGAGAAAAAAATTCAGGAGCACCTTCTGAACAATAACAAAATAACAATGTCTAGCTTTATCTTTTGTCAAATTCAAAAGTGTATTTTTAGAAGTTTTTTTCAAAATTGCTAATTAAAACAATGGAATAAGATTAATAAGTTACCAATCAAATAAAATCCGTATTAACAAAATTAATTTGCGCTACAGAGGGGGCACAGAAGAACACAAAAGTGGCTTTTGTGAGACATTTAATGAGGCTCAGAGTAACTTCATGGTGAGAATAAGTTAAGAAAATGAGAAACTAAAACTGCCAGCAGGTGGCGGCAAGTTACGGATTTTATCACTGAATCATTCACTCAGTTGATTCGTTCGAACGACTGATTCATTCAGGAACAAAGCACGTGACGGTCTTTATGAATGGGTGATTGAATCGACTCTCTAGATTCGTTTTAAAACGCAGATTCATTCATAAACGAAACAACGCGGTGTTTGAATGTGCAGCGGCTCAGTTGTTTGAAACTATTTTAGTTGACAAAATAGAGTAAAATCAGGCAATACTGTTATAGTCAGACAATGTAAGTTACTTAATATTAACTTTTTGTTTATTGAAATCACTAA